ACGTCGGCAGAAAATATGCCAATACCAAATCCATGCCCCCCGCCCCACAAGCAACACCAACACCCTTACCATACCCCCCGCCCAACCGCTTGCACCCAGCTACGAGTCACGCAAGGCGAAATGAGGAAAACAAGTGCCCGGTTGGAAATGGCAGAGGAAAGTTGACAATTTTTTTTATACTACCTAGGCTTGGCATCTGTCTGTTCAAAAGCAAATTATTCTTCTTTTCTTTATTTTGCTTTCAAGCAAGTTAAGTACAATATATATTTGTACTGGATAAATAAGCTTCGTATGATAAAAAACATTATTATTAAATTAAATTTTTGATTTATAATAAATTCTTTAAAACGCAGTTGCGGCGCCCTGCAGAGAAACATACGAAAAATACTAATGCTTGATAATAAGAATAACTTAGTTCCGTTCCAATAATTGATAATAACTACTTAGTGTAGTTCCATAAAAGATTCATATGATTGATTGATTTAATTCATTTTCAGTAACAACGTAGAAACGCCTAGCGAACTCCACTATCTCACCACCGAATTGGACACGGGGCACTTCGTGCTTGTCTGTGCTTGTGCTATGCTGCGGCTGTGCTGTGCTGTGTGCTGTGTGGCGTCGTAAATGGAACGATGAACGGGCGGCAAGAGCCAGGGCAGAGCAACAAAAACAGCAAACACACCGAACAGTGTGTGTGATGTTTGCGTGTGTTTGTGTGTGTGTGCGAGGTGGTAAATGTGTGAGGAGCGACGTCTGTTGTTGCTGCCTTTCGGTATCTTGCACTCAGCGGCCAGACTCGGGATTCGAAATGGGAATAGGCACAAGCGCTATACTATACCCCGCATTATCGTGTACCGTACCGCAAGTGCTCATTACGAATGCACGGCGAGAGGAGAATGAAAAGAAGCAGAGGCAAAGAGCTGTGCGCGTTTTTTCGAGGGTTAATACGAAAAATATATATTTCAGTTCGCTTCACAGATTTGCTAGCTGCTAGCAATTCAAATCTTTCATCTTTCATACCCTTAACGGAACCCCCCTTTTTTCGGCTTCAGTTTCGTTTGCTCTCGTTCTCTCTCTCTCCCGCTCGCATAAATTATGCTCCCTTTTTTTTTGTTTTGTTTTTTTCATAAATGTCACTTTGAGCATACATTTGCCGACTAATTGCGGCAGGGTGGGTCGCCAAGTGGGCGGGCAAAAAGTAATTGCCATAGAGCTGCGTAATAAGTACACCTGTCAAAATTATTTCCTTCGCAACATGGGTTATGTGAGGTGATTCTGCACGCTGTGGATAGGCAATAGGTCGCATTTTCCTGGATGGCACTCTCTTTGCACGGGTTAGCTCGGAAAAATCACAGTTTTTCGAGCGTGGCAATAGAGTAGTTCGAAAGAAATAAACAGAAACAGAATCGCACAAGTTCAAATTTCCGTCCAAAAAGAAACCTAAATATTATCAGATAACTACGTAAATGAAAATCAATTGCTGTACAAATATTAACGCCATAAAAATATTCGAAATTAAAATACAGAAACGCTTTAATATCCGTGATAGCTCCACACAAACTTATTTCAAAGTTAAAATGATCTCAATGTTAAATACATTGGTAAATTCAGCTTTTTTGCAGAACTATGTTGTTGAGTGTTGAGACAAAAGTATTAAATATATATCTACGCCCTATACGGACATTTTCTGCTTCATTTCACGTAGATCTCGTTAAGTAAATTCGATGTTGATTGGTGAGCTATGTAGAAGAATGCAATACAGATATAAAAGCATGTTTATAGACGTTTCTATAGCTATAAATAACAAGATATTTGCAGGTTCCCAATTTGTTTAAGCATACATTCCAATATTCACCACTGAAAACCGTTAACGTTCAGTAAGCCCATACATACCAATACGTACCTCATATGAATGTACATACATACATACATATATGAAGCAATTAAAGGCATTACATCATCTTATATCTCAAAATATAAATCTACACCATTTAATCGGTAACTAGTTTTCAATGGTTAATTGTTTTTTTAATTGCCAAATAGTAGTGCAATTTGTTTTTGGGACTTTTCGCTTCGGTTGATACTTTAAAACTTATATTTAAAGTTTCGTTCAGTTCTCGTTATACCTCCGCGCTGTAAAGTGCATGGAATCATGCATTTCTCCGTTGGGTTCCTAGTGATTATGTACCTGATCGAAGGGGTAAAACTTCATTAAAACTGTTCGAAATTATAACTGCAGATTGTGCATTGCAGGTCCATTCTCTAGTTGAATTTACGAACTTCGAGTGTGAGCTATTGGATAGAAGCTTTTGCGGAGTGGAGTACTGTCGCATTAAATCCGTGAACCGGACGTACAAATACCTTTCCCTTAAAGTCAATCTATTCAAAACCCCCGTGACCGATGTTAAGGTATGCTGTGAAATACATACTTCTTAACTTGTTAACATTTCTAATTGCGACCTAGGTGAATACGGCCTTTTACCAACGCCTGAATGGCTATAAGCCCTTTCTCTACAATGTAACTGTAGATGCCTGCAAATTTCTTAAAAACCAAAACTCGAATCCCATTTTTAAGTTCGTTTATGGTGTTTTCAAAGACGCCTCCAATTTAAACCATTCCTGCCCCTACGACGTACGTAAAGCGAAAAACCTCTGGATAGCGCTACCGATTTAGATATACTTCCCTTTTCAGCATGACTTACTTGTGGAAAAGTTAACAACAGAGACATATAATCATTACGTAACCAAAGTTCTTCCTGTTCCTGAAGGGAAATATATGGTAAAAATGAACTGGATCGCTTATAATATTAGCAGAGCTATCATTCGATTATATATTACACTCACGTAAAACCCAAAATCCCAATGTAAATACACAGTTAAAGAAATAAATTCAAAAATAACGTCACAAGTTCTAACTTAAGTCCGGTTCCAAAAATACCAAGATCTTATCGGCAAATTATGTAAATGGAATTAAATTGCTATGCTAATGTCACAATACATCGCATTTTCCTGGATCACACTCACTTTTCTCGAGTTTGTTCTGTAAAATCAAAAGTTTTTTGTTTAACATTTAAATACCAAAAATTAACTTCGAAATCCGAAATTGTATGTATTGTATTGTATGTAGAGCAACTTTTTATAAAGAAAGTTATACAACGCCTTTTTGACACAAAAAAGAATATATGTATGTACTCGTATGATATTCATTATTTCTGTTTTTTCGTTGTGGATTTCATACAGACTATCTCACTAGCATTTTTATGAACTTGAAGCAGTACGCTTCACTCAATTATCACATATCATATACTCTGATATCAGGACTGAATGAAAACCCATTCGGTATTTATTTCCGATTGTAAATTACTTTCTAAGCTCCCGCAAGGTCAACGAATCACCCAAAACCCCCTTTTTTGGCCCCATGCAAGCGTAAATATAATTAGGCTCGGGCCACCCGATGCCCACCCACCGAATTTCAGTGTATTTGCGTTTGTGTTTGTGCTAACCGCACGTGCAAAACCACTGAGCAGTTGCAACATTAATTATTCATTTTGCCAGAGGATTCTAAGGGATTCCCCGCAGCAACATCGTGTGCGACTGCCTTTCTACGTGGCTAGGTGCAAGTGCAGTTCACATTTTTGGGACAGCATACACAATCACTTTGCACACCACATGGCAGTGGGGTGCTTAACTGAGTTTACCAAAATTATGATGCAGTAGAGGGGTCAAGCAGTGTCAAACGGACTTAAAAAAGGTCGGAAACGACTAATTTATTTCGAACGCAGAACTCATAGCTGTTGACCTCTTTAAATTTGTCTGTATGTGTAGTGTAAGCTTATAGAATAACGATTTTAGTTTATTATATTTATGTTTTTAAACTGATTCCTAATCAACAGGCTATGTTTTCCTCGCGCAATTAAATAATTTGTAGCTTTTGCAAAACTGTGTCGTTGAGTGTTAAGACTAAAAGTATTAGGTATATATCTACCTACTATACGGACATACTCTGTTTCATTTCACGTAAATCTCGTTAAGTAAATTCTATAATGAGTGGTGAGCTATGATGAATGCAATGCAGATAAACATGGCTTTATAGAGACGTTGCTATAGCTATAAATAACACGATATTTGCAAGTTCCCAATTTGTTGAAGCGTACAATCCAATATTCACCACTTTAAACAGGTTCATAGCGGCTTGTGGCAGATGTATCTACATTTTCAGCAATTACCCGTTAACGTTGAGTAAGTCCATACATACCGTTACGTTCCTCCTACATATGTACATACATATATGAAGTAATTAAAGGGTTATCTTCTTATATCTGAACATATAAATCTACTCCATTTAATCGGTAGCCTGTTTTCAATGGTTAGTATGATAGTATGATAGCATTCAGCTGAAACTTTAAAGCATTATTCCGTTGGGTTCCTAATGATTGTGTACCTGATCAGGGGGGCAAAACTTCATTAAAAACTGTTCAAAAATTATATTGGTAGGTCCATTCTGTAGTTGAATTTACGAACGTCAAGTGTGGGTCATTGGATATAAACTTTTCGGACTTTAAGTACTGTCGGCTGAAATCCGTGAATCAGACGTATTTTAAAGTGATATTTTATTCAAATTATAATAATTTAATCATAGCTACTTATTAGCATAATCTACCAATATATATATAAAATATATAATGTCGGGTATTTTAATGCGATATCTTAACAAATTAACTGAAATTTGTACATATGTGCATATATGTATACTATATGTACATATGCACCCGATTTGGAAAGGTGGATAGCTGAAAGGCTGAGATTTCTCAGTTTTATAAAAACGCTGGACACAAAACAGTTTGTGTTACGTTTAATTGCTCTTTTAGGTAATTGCTAAATAATGGTGTAATTTGTTTTGGGCTGTTATGCTTGATAGCATTCAGTTGACACTTTAAAGCTTAATTTTGAAGTTTCGATCAGTTCTTGTATTACCTCCGCGCTGTAAAGTGCATAGAATCATGCATTTTTCCGTTGGGTTCCTAGTGATTATGTACCTGATCGAAGGGGTGAAACTTCATTAAAACTGTTCGAAATTATAACTGCAGATTGTGCATTGCAGGTCCATTCTCTAGTTGAATTTACGAACTTCGAGTGTGAGCTATTGGATAGAAGCTTTTGCGGAGTGGAGTACTGTCGCATTAAATCCATGAACCGGACGTACAAATACCTTTCCCTTAAAGTCAATCTATTCAAAACCCCCGTGACCGATGTTAAGGTATGCTGTGAAATACATACTTCTTAACTCGTTAACATTTCTAATTGCGACCTAGGTGAATACGGTCTTTACCAACGCCTGAATGGCTATAAGCCCTTTCTCTACAATGTAACTGTAGATGCCTGCAAATTTCTTACAAATCAGAACTCTCATCCCATTTTTAAGTTCATTTACGTTTTTTTTAAACACGTCTTCAATATGAACCATTCCTGCCCCTACGACGTACGTAAAACAAACAACTCCTGTATTTCTCTACTGATTTAGATATATTTCCTTTTCAGCATGACATAATAATGGAAAAGGTAACAGCTGAGAATATTAATCATCATATGACCAAAATTCTTCCTTTTCCCAAAGGAAAATATATGTTTAAAATGCACTGGATTGCTTATAATATTAACAGAGCTATCATTCGAGTATATATTACACTCACGTAAAACCCAAAATCCCAATGTAAATACACAGTGAGAGAAATAAATTCAAATAGAACCACACAAGTTCTAACTTAAATCCGGTTCCAAAAATACCAAGCTCTTATCGGCTAATTACAAAAATGGAAATAAATTGATGTGCAAATATCGGATTCATATAAATATTCGAAATTTACAGACCGGAACGCTTGGTAATAATCGGTAATGTCTACACTGATTCGTATTTAAGAGTAATTAATTCAAATTATAATAATTTTATTATGACAAACATTTTGACAAGATTGATAAGATATTAAGAGAAGCGAAGAAACTGAAATAGACACAAAAAAACTATTGCTATGTTAATGGATGTTAATAAATCTACTAAATAATTGTTTCTTATAAATATGCATGTATTTATGAAAGCGTTGTTTTAGGACTTAGTGAATATGAAGCTCGAACTTTAGTCTTAGTTTATAATTCTAATCAGTTCTCGTTAAAGATGAATGAAGAACTACAGTTTTTCGTTGACAAGTTTTTGATAAAAAGTGTAAAACTATAAATATTCTGTTAGATGAAAAAAGAAAGAGCTCTTATAAGGCTTTCCTCTACAATAGACATTAGATGCGTGTAAGTTCAGGTAAGTTCTCCCCATCACTTCCTTTACTTGAGTAACGAGTATCTGATAGTCGAGTGGCCGTCGGTTTTTAAAATTGATTCGATTTGATACGACCACCACATGCAAACGTGGACAAACCCCACTTTTTTTTGAAAGGATCTAGTTTGCCGTCTTACTGTACACTGTGATAATTGCTGATAGAGTTTTTATGTAAATAGAGGATGCGTGGAAAATGGAGCGTCATTTACGGAATTGCCATCATCATTTATCTTTGTCACTTGATCAAGCGCAATAATTTTTTGTATCCCCTTTTTGCTCTAGGCTACTTAATGTGGAACGTGCGAAAAATTATTCAAGGACAATGCCAAGATCCTTTGAAATGCAAATTTTTGTATTCTGTTTTACCGTTTGATTCCCTTTTTTGCATCGGAAATCAAGTGGCGGCAAATGATGCGAGAGACCGCACTTTGCATATGGCCAAAAACAGGTTCGTCGCGGATTTCAACAAAATGAAATGCGAACAGCAGATCAACAAAAAAAGGAGAAAAAAATCTGCGAAAACGGGCATTTTTGTGTTAATTATAAACGCCAAGGCCAATACACGGGCACACTGCACGCACATACATACGAATATGTGCGTTAATCTCTCTCATTTGACAGTTGGATTCAATTAGAAACGACGCCACCCACACAGTCACAGCGTAAGCTCAATTTGTGCGAGTGCGACGCAGATAGCCTGCTGTTGCCGAGCGCCCCTCACTTGTCATCTCGCTCGCGCAGCGATGCGGTAGGCCAGTGGTTGTTGTTGTTCTCTCGTGTTTCACTCGTGCGGCTCTCTCGTGAATCTCTCGTTTCGCTTCTCTCTTGCTCTTTCGCGTAAACGTAAAAACCGAGCGATTTTGGGCAGCGACAGCGCCAGCAGGTCTAATCAGAATCAGTCTGTGGAAACTTTTCGTGCCGTGCACTTTGTGAAACGGAACGGAGAATATATTTTTGTCGTGGCGCGAGCTCAAGCGACTACGAGAGGGAGAGAGCGCGAGAGTGTGCGACTGAGAGGCAGCGAAAATCTGTGCGTGTACGAGAAATCGATAACAGCAGCTGAAGTGACAGAAGAATAAGAAGAAGACGTAAAGGCTGTGGAGTAATCGAAAGCGCGTGTGTGTCGGTGTCGGCGAATGGATTGAGTTTAATAGAAAATCCAAATAGAAAATGCTACAGAGGAAAACTCTTCAAGTAACAGCGCAATTGCTTTGAGTACGTATGCGGGAAATAAAAACCAAAAAGGAAAGGGAACATGAAATTTTCCCTCTCACATGTATGGGTGAAAATTTTGTAAACACAAATACCCTGGTGTGCGTGCGTGTTATTCTCGCCGCGTATTGGAATTTTCGTCGTGCGGCGAAAACGTCGACTGTCGGCGAAAATGCGCCCGCGCAAAAGTAGAAAGTTTGTTGGTCGTCTCTCTCGCCACGGCGAATAGATACAATTTCTGTGTGTGTCGTGCGCTCTCGCTTAACGGCGAATTGAGCGCGCAAGTGGCAGTCGGGATTTCTCGAATTGGATTTCAGTTGAACTCTGGACGCGGCCGCGGAAAAATCGTATTCCCAGTCTTGTTGCGATTTTACGTCGATTTTCGTCCATGTTTTCGATATTTTTTTGTGAGTTCATTTTTCGGACAGCCAGCTTGTTGCGTGTGTGTGTGAGCGATGTTGAGATAGAGAGTGGGAGAGAAATGGCCAGTGTGTGTGTGTGTGTAACCACCCTGCGGGCGCTCGTGCCGGTCTAACTGTTATTGTTGTTATTGCATTGCCGACACTTTCAAGCTGTGACCATGTGTGTGTTGGTGTGCGAGTGCGCGCCTTTTACGAAATTGCGGCGTATAAACAGAAAGCGGGCTAAGGAAAATCAAGAAAAGCGCTTGCCAGCGACGTCATCAATTTAACAGCGTCATCAAACATTGGACTGTCATTTTCCAGCTGAGTGGGCGTAGGCACATGAACGCCAACCACCCACTTTTCTGCCCAACTCTTGTTCAAGCCTCTCGGCCTTTTGTTTTTGCTTCTGTTTTTGTTTTGTTTGCTTTTTTGTTTTGCTAGCACAGCCTCCGTTCTTCTGCCTCCCCCTCCCCCTCTCCCCTGCACTGCACCCTCCTCTTTGCGTGCCATTTTCGCGTGAGCGGCAAACGAAAATAATCAAAAGGCAACGACGGAGACAAAAAATGGGCGAAGCGATGCGACTTTCGGTTGCGCTATGCGATGGGCGGCTTTGCTGGGGTGGCTGTGGATTAAAAAGTGCTTCAATTTGAAGAATACTTAGTTGAGTAATGAATAATGCAGTGCCGAATTCGGTCACAATTTAACAATCTCCAACATGCCGTACTAACTGAATCGAGGCGAATAAAGATGGCCCATTTACACGCAATTTTGTTTTTCATTATGCAAATGCGGGAATCTCTAATGCAAATTAGGAAAAGGCATTCAGCTAAAACAAATTGCTTTGCGCACAATTATTTATCATACTGCTGATAATTAGATTGCTTTGCTGTACTTTCTAAATACTAACAGTTTTATCATATTAAAATGCCTTGAACAATTAACGTACGACTTGAGAAAGTATTCATCTTGTAGTACAGGTCTTGTTGATCCATTTAAACTTTGTCTTTTATTATTTATGTTGGTAGTACTATCGATGTTAAATGTATGTTAGAAATGTATACATTTCAACTAAATATGGTAAAGAGTTATACACTTTTATGGAACTTTTCGAAAGGACGCACATTTCCAATATAATGTATTATATCTAACCCAAGGTGTTCCACAATAGACCCAAGAGTATCTTGGTTGCCAGTTTCCTAGGAGGTATCCAAACAACCTGCTGATCCACTATGCCCTGAACTTTGCCCTGAACTCTCGGCTGCCTGCCAGCAACTCGCAATCATCGTCAGGGCATCGCCATAATGATGAAAATTCAGTTTCCACTGGTGTGCAGGGCACAAAAGCGTAATTTTCGTAGTTTTATTGGGTTGGCATAGCCAAGGGGGGAAGGGGGGAATGGGGAGATCTGAAGCGATGGGGCAGAAAAGGGGGCGGCAAACTAAAACTAGCTTCAAGTACGCCGTCGAGTGCACATCGCTTTCTGTGCGCTTCTCTCGGCTCTTCTCGGCTTCTCTCGGTAGGTGCCCTCTGTGGCACGAAGGGCGTACGAAAGACCAAAGACCCCACCTCCCGGAGACCAGCGACCCCCCAACCACCCCTTCACATGCCCTGCTTTCCACCCGCCCACAAAGTTGCTACTTTTGTGTTCGGTTTTGTTTTTGTTTTTTGTTTTCCTATTTTTTATTTTTTATTCATATTTTTGTGAGCTGCAAGCACATTGTTCCGATTCATGGATATGGATGGCTGCCTTACTAGTCTAAAGTTTTCTGTATTGTGCGAGTGTGCTGACGTTGCCGTATCTTTTGGGACAAGATACAGATACACGGTTGATATATCTGGCTCTGTGGCTTTTTTGTTGACGAGCGACAACCACAAATGTCGACAACAATGATGATGACGATGGCGATGACGATGATGGTGATGGTGATGGTGATTTTGATGTTGATGGGATTGTGTGCTGGCTGTTGGTTCTCACAGTTGTGTGTCTTTTTGCTACTTTTTGCTTGGCCATTGTTACCCCTTTCCTCCCTTGGTGCCCTCGTCATAATTATAGAAAGACCCCAACAGTTGATTAGCCATCATCAGTTGTCACACTTGTGTCACTTGTTGAGCACATGCCAAACATGGATATGCCAGGTCCTAACCCCGATCCTTGTACCCCTTCCAGGACCCCATTGAAAGAGGCTGCAACAAAGAGTAAGGATTGAGGCAGGAAGATGCACCTGCAAAACACGCACAACGCAGTGAAACCCAACGCCGCTATGGAGCCCACATCCTCAGCATTCCCAGCATCCCGGGATGTCCTGCAGTTCCATGATCTGATAACGTGCCGACTTTGTCGCGGCTACATGATCGAACCAACCACAGTGGATTACTGCTATCACACCTGTAAGTGTTCTTAGTTTCCATAGACTACCCTTAGTATAAATATAGAAGCAAAACTTTCCTTAACTGCATGTACCTTCATCTAATTTGATAGATACTTTGCCATACAATGTACTTTGTAATTCACTACTATAAATTTCATCTTTCAAACATTAGATTGATATTAAATGTTTGCTTTGCTGACTTACTTTATATTATTACATGTACATTTAAGTTTGGTCGTTCATGGCGTCAAGTATCTGAGCAGATCTTTTGCATCTCTGGTAGTTCTTAAACCTAAATACCATAATTTCTCAACAGATTGCCGGAGTTGCATACTGAAGCACCTGCTGCGAGCGGTTTACTGTCCGGATTGTAAAGCCAGCGGAGGCAAGGAAATCAATGAATTGAATCTAAAATCGGATGACACGTTGCGATCGCTGATTTATAAGCTGGTGCCGGGACTCTATCAAAGGGAGTGCAAGGAGCTGGCAGATTTCAAGGAGCAGCACGAGGATTTGGTGGATGAGCCAACGACTGACGAACACGAGTTCTTCACCACCACGGAACTCATAAGGTAAGTTTCAGCCATTGAAAAGAATGCTTACAATTGTAAAACTAATCAACATGTTGCCCTACTTTTCATCTGTATATCCATTAGCTTATCCCTGGAATACCATCCCGCCATGCTGCATCAGTGTGGTCCTGGCGAGGTGCCTCCCACTATTTACCTGCAATGTGCCGCCGGATTACCTGTGGAGCTACTGAAGAGGTTCCTCTGCTCCAAGTACAACATAGAGCCGGACAACAGCTTGGTGGAAGTGGAGGTGACCTACAAGGATGAGGTACTGCCTGCCACTTTCACGCTGATGGACGTGGCCTACTCTTACAACTGGAGTCGGGTAAGTGATGTTTTACTCAAACTGATGCCCTCACAAAGAGAAAAATGCGGCTAGGATACCATCTTTAGATAGTGCATCTTCAAATTGATAAAGGGTTACAAATTTAAGTTAAGTCCGCCTAAGGGATTCAACTGCAATCAGGGGACAATGCCTTTGTAAAAACTTTAAATAGGGTTTGAATACTCAAGCACATTTTTCAGTACTCACTTAGTACATTGAAACTTATTTTTCAGATGGTTACATTTTTTGAGGCAGTAAAACAGTAAGGGGAGAAAACGGGGTTGAAAATTCTGACTTGATCTGCGGTCATCCAACTGCCAAATAGTACCTTAAAAACATATCCATCTTATCATTATCGGTCAGTTTTAAGTGTTAAATACGCCCACTTTTCCTCAGTTTGTGGGGGCGATGTATTGTCCCTTTTTGCGGTTTATCCCAATAATCCAATAGATGTGCGGAAGGGGAAACCCAATCCAATTGTGCCGGCAGTTTAGCGTACAATGTCCACTTTCAATTTTCCACCCTTGTCAACCTGCCCTTTTCCATCTATTTCTCCCCTCTCCGAATCCGAATTTAGGAATCGCCCATGGCCTTCTGCTACCGGATTCTGCTTTACGACAACGAGCAAGCAAAAAACGATGAGAATAACCTATCCAGGATTAACCAGGACATTGAACCGGAGCGTTCGGTACCTCGCACCAAGTCGGCCAAATCGGTGACCTTTGCCGAGGACCTGGAATCGGAAATGGACTCCGGCTCTCCGCGCTCCAAGGTACGCTGCAAGACTCCGCCAAAAGTTTCGCCCTCGTCGAAAACCAAACGATTGACGACAAGTAAACGGGAAGCGGAACCTGAGTGTCCGGTGAGCAACTTCAAAAGTCTGCGAAGCAACGACATGCGGTACAGTGATTACGCCGTGTCCAAAGTTAAAAGCGAACCGGAACAGGAGCAGTTCCTTGCGCCAAGAGAACGGGAACAACAGCCTCTGGAGGCCAACACCAATATAGTGGTCAGCATTCCACCCTCGCAGCTCGGAAAATCCTACGTAGATGCCGAGAACTTTGAGCTGAAGACAGCAAATCGAAAGGGCGTGGGCCATTTGCCCAAACTGAAGATCGAGTTGAACAGCATGAAGAGCAAGCTGAGTATGCCATTGTCGGCGGGTCCGCGACTGGAGGATACCTCCTGCTCCTCAACATCCTCAGCTCAACAGCTCGATCTGGAGACCTATGCCAAGAACATTGGCCTAAAGCCCATTGATCAGCCCTTACCGCACAGTGCATCCAATCCCGATAGCAAATACAGTCCCAACGCCTCGCCCATGTCCTCGTGCTCCAGTTCGACCAATGGATCCAGCGGCAGTCTGGGCACCGCCGATGCCAGCACATCGACCAGCACGTCCAGTTCCCATCGCAAGCGCAAGAAGAAGCACTCCAAGGAGCCAAAGGACGCGAATGGCAAGCGAAAGAAGTTGCATGCGGAGATCAGCTCGCAAACCGATGGTAAAATGAAGGTGAAGATAACGGCCAAGCCCAACCATAAGTTGGATTTCAAGCGGTCCCATTCGCTGGCCAGCGGGGAGTTGGATCTGCAGAAGCTGAAACTGGACAGCACCAGCACTTCGGAGGCACTGAATCGCACGCTGGGCGAGGAGGCCAGGAGCATCAACAGCCTGGTGGTGGGTGGGGCACCCACACCACCGCCCACGCCCACCGCCGAGCCAGAACCGCAGCAGCAGCACCAGCAGCAACAGCAGTTTGTGGTGCTGCCAAAAATGAAAGAGCTTACCTTGCCCACATCGCCACCTCTGCCGCCCAGTTTATTCAAAGCCTATACACCCAGCACAACGCCAACCACACCACTTGCTGTGCCCGGAAAATCCAAGCAACAGCAGCAGCAACAGCAGCAGCAAATGGCACAGCAAATGCCACAGCAACCTCAAGCTGTACTACAGCAAAGCCTGGCTAAAGGCAATCCCGCCAAGCCGCCGCTGAGCAGCAACAACAATCGCAAGCCGAGCAGCGGACACTTTGCGGTGCCACAGGCGCCAACCCACCGGAATATGTACCACATGCAACGCTACCAGTCCACACCCAGCTCGATTGCCAGTGCGGCGAACAAGATGCCAAAGCGATCCTTGTCCCTGGACGAGTCGCATCCGGCCAAGCAGGCGAGATTGAGCCAGAGCCAGGCGATGGCCAGCAGTTATGCGGCCAAGCTGCATATGCAGACTAGCAACCAGGCCAGAAGTCAGGCGGCCGCCTTTCTGCCCAATCCCCAGATGCGTTCCTATGGCCTCAGCGAGCTGGGCGGCAAGCCAACGCTGCCACTGTTGTGCCCGGCCAGCAGTTCGGGCCAAGTGACCATTACGGCAAGGCCCAGAGTCACGCCGTCGGTGTATTCCTTCTCGGAGCCAAATAGCCATGTGCCTGCCCTGGAAATAGTACGATTGCCGGTGAATAAGCAGAGTGCTGGCGGCAAGGGTCTAACGATGCCACCGCTCAGCCCGCCGGCATCGTCCAGTGCCCGGCTGATGGGGCCACCAGCGGCTCTGCCCAAACAGGCGGGCGGCGGACATGGTGCGGCGGCCAAGCGGAGCTGCCAAATGCCGACAATGCCGACAATGCCAATGCCGATGACCACGATTCCGACGATTGTCAAATCGCCGCCGCTGTCAGTTGCGCTCGGTGGCCAGAGGAACGGCAAGGGTAACTCGTCGCACTCAAATGCTTATCGCACATCACCGCCTGCATTAATAAATCTGCGCAACACAGCCGCTCCACAGCACTCGTTTCCATCAAAGTCGAGCCCAAAGGTGGACGCCAATTCAAAGAAATCCCCGCCAGCAGCCGGCTGCCAGGGCAAAACCAATGGCACTGCCCCATTGGACAAGTCCAAAACGAGTTTGCGCGAGTTTCGGCCAGCGGTGCAAGCGGCTGTAACAGCAACGGCCACCACAACGGCCACCAGTGCAGCGGGAGCGGGAGCAGGAGCAGCGGGAGCAGGAGCTGGAGCAGGAACAGCATTAGCCAAGGATGCCGATATACTTGATTTATCGGCTAACCCGGGCAGGAGCAGCAGTGACGCCAAGTTGGCGCCCAGCTCACCGCCCGCTGGCAACAACCACAACAATAATAATAATAACAATAATAATAATAACAACAACAATAATAATAATAATAATAATAGTAACAATAACAACAACAACACGACAAGCAACAGCTTGGAGGCAGCCTTAAACAAAATCAAGCAGAATATATCGGCGAACAGCAATGGTGGACCATCGAGCACCACCTCTGGCGGTAACTCGAATGGCACCACCAACGGCGATGATCTACAGAATCTGCATATGCTCTCGGAATCGGCAACGGCCAGGGAGAAGATCTCCATAAAGGCCGCCAGCAGTGGGAGCAGCAGTGGTGGCAGCTCCAGTGGCACAGCCACCGCCAAACCCAAGAACGCCAATGCACTGGTGAGGCCACAGAATGCCTCGGTTAGGAGCATACCCAATCCATCGGCTTTGGCTTTCCGCAATCAGCCAACAGCTGCCAGTGCGGCAGCCAGCATCAGCAAACCATTGACGGTTCGCGCCGAGGAAAAGCTGAAGGTTTCCACCAGCACTCCGGGCTCACTGAGTCCCAACACCACGGGCTGCACTGGCAGCAGCAGCGGAAGCGGAAGCAGCAGCAGCAGCAGTAGCAGCAGCAGCTCAACCGGCAGCACTGGATGCAGTGCAGCCACCTCGCCGCGGGCAATGACCAAGAAGCCCACGACCATCGATCAAGTGGCGGCCAATTTGAACATTCGCGCCGAGGCCAAGGCCGCCGCTCTAGCCGAGGAGGCTCCACCCGTCCTCAGTTCCAATGCGGCCAAATCTCCGGAGTTGGCCAAAACGACGACATCCGTTGCGTCGCGGCCGGAGCCCAAGGAGGCGCCCATCACTGTTTCGGCGGCCAGCACGCTGCTGACCATCCCATCCGTGGTGGCCAGTGTGTCCGCGTCCGCAGTCCCGGAATCCATGGCCAAGCCACCCGTACAGATTGCCAATGCTCCGGTGGCGAGTTCCGCTTAGTCACAAGGTGAGTTTTTGGATATTTTATTGAATTTTAGTAGTGTCATCAACATTCCATTAATAACCAATCTTCTGTTGGTGAAAAGCTTTAGTTAAACCTTAGTTAACTAACATACATAACTCGAACTTTTCGTTTTTGGAATTTCCTCAACACTTAATCTTCATATCATTGTATTCTTGGATTGTACATATTATGTTCTTAGTTTCTTAATGGGTTTTCTGTAATGTAATCTGTTCGATGATCAGTAGGTGGGTGCCTAATTCTTGCGATCTACTAGGCTGCGTTTACTCCGTTGATTGCCTTTCTGTTTAGCGATACATTGTGACCTTTTCAACTCTACGCTACATTAAGAAAACAAACTCTTCTGTAGGAGCCAGTTGTCTTGAACCCGTGAACATGGCTTGTTCTGCTGTGCTTTCCACTTAAATACCTTTATGAGTTGGCCATATAATTTTTCTTTTTGGCGCATTTCCCACACTCAATGGAATTGAGACTCAAATTATACAAATTACATTTCGTGTTTTGCGTTTTCTTTGCCTCGATTTTCTGGCCGATGTTGTTTGTGTTGCTCCTTCTCTGCTTTGGCTTTTCTCAAGTAGTCATTATACACAAATAATGTATCTTCTTCCACGTACTCTCGCACTCTCTCTCTCTCTGTCTCTGTCTCTCTCGCTCTCTCTTTCTCTTCCCCACCAGCCACCCATCTCCATCTCGCTCTGTTTGTCGTTCGTCACTCGACAGCGGTCTTGGTCGGTCATTCAGACGACGCTTTGCTTTTATTTTAGACGTTACTACACTGAGTTTTGACTTTTTCGCTGTGTTTTTTCTATACCCGTTTGTCGTAGAGCACTAAAGGTATTTTGAACTCGTGTAAACGTTTTGAGTTTGACAGAAATGACTCTCTGTCCGTATCTCTGTCCGTCCGTTTGAGCGCATCTGGATTTTATAAACTATTCCGCCTCTAAGTTTTTTAAAGCAGAAGTTACGAAAACTGTCGCTTTCACAAATCTCAAATGACCTATACATCTTTTTTGGTTTAAATATGTGTGAATTACCTCTAACTAGCCACATTGCATTTGTACCAAAGCCTTAGATCGCAGACACTGAGTATCTTGTAGTCGTATCATTCGACTTTGACTAACATTCTTGTTTTAGTTTTCGTTTTTTGTTTTGGTTTCAGTTTTTTTTGTTCTGTTTTGGTTGGCCTTTTAATGAACATCGGCCGAGTAGAGTCATTACATCATTTTGTATTTTCACCCATAGAAAGGCAGGCGAATAGCATTTTCATTCGTTCTCTTGCTCATTTCGTGTCTTTTGCAGCGTTTCTTTGGCTGTGCGGAACGCAAATGTATCTTGTGGCGCCGCTGGAGAATCTGCGAAATACCGACAACAACTGAGGTGATGAAAAAGCGTATAAACAACTCCCCGTAGCACACGTTTTCCAACCTCGCTCCCGAAGAAGAAGTGCAATTTAATCAACCAGTAGAATGGATCGTAAGCCTTAGAACTAAACCGAACAACCCTAAGCAATATCTACACATCGGAATGTATCTGTTGGATGCGAAAACCGCATCATTTGCATACACATATGCAAACATTTGCAATCGAATTAGTACGCGACTAAATAAATAATCCAAGCAAATTTCAAAAATGCCAGCAACAAAATTCATTAATAAATAACCCAGCTGCGAGACAGAGAGAGAGAGAGAGAGAGAGACGAGAAGAGAGAAGCGAGGAGGAGAATAATAATCAAAATCGCTTGGCGTTCGCTGGCATTTTCGAAAGCAGGCAAAACAGCAACAACAAAATTAATTATAAAATATCAACAGCAAATATGTGTTAAGCCGCGATAAGGTCACACGAACACAAACACATGCCTTTCATAGATAGATCTTCGTTTGGCCTTTTGCTTTTTGGGGAAAGTCCAAACGAAACCAAGAAAAACAAAAACAGAATCTACTAATAAATAGCGAAATTATTTTCAAATACGCGGTAGTAAAACGGTTTTTGAGTAAAAACCAAGCAGAGGAAGAAAAAAACCACAAACTGATACGAAAACGGAAATCGCATCAGGAATATTTGATTACACACACAGCACACTCAGTGCCGAAAGTGCTTGGCCCACACCCTTCGGAAAAACTGCCACGAAGTGTGAAAATTCGGTGGTGGTGGTGGTGGTGTTGGGCTAGCTGCTAGATTTTTCGAAAGAACACACTCGCGTATAGCGAAAGATACAGCCCGATACACACTCACGTTCCTCCATCGGGGCGATAAAATTTTAACGATTTTGCGCCGCTTTGGGCGAGCGTGTCAGGCATAAAGATACAAAACAATACTTGGGCATATACAATAAACAAACGCAAACAAAGCGGAATAATGAAAATAACAAACTCGCACTGGCACAGTGCGTATATTTCTATACATATACCCAAATAAATATAAATTTATATATACATATATATATCTTGTAGATACTCTGTCGCATTAGTTGTTTAAGCGAGTTACGTTTAATTGCAGCACGAATTTTGTACATAAATTGAAAAATCGAAGCCAGGCAAAAACAAAATGCCAACCCAACAAACCAGCGCACCCAGCACTTGGAAATGAATTTTAATTTTTTAGAGCTTCGACCAAATGAAATATTTAGTAATATATACACAAACACACGCACACACGCATTATGCAAATATTGATGAACTTCTACTTATATTTACGATATTCGTACACTCGAAAAAGGCTTTAGATTCTCCGTACATTAATTCTCTACTTGCTCTTAGCTGATATTTTATTTGTTTTGTTATCTTGTATATGGTCTGTACATATTTTAAGCAAAGCAGGAATTATAAAGTTTATAAGGGGAGCAAAGAAACCCTGAATCATATGAGTTTCTTAGCGGAATAGCTGGATTTTTAGAATAAGTACACGCATGGTGGCAGATCCACCCCATTGTTTATCCGTATCTTTTTGTTGCAACCCCTGTGTGTTGGCGGCATCCCTCATGATCGGCGAAAAATTAACATAATTTCCAGGCAATCAAACAAATTGAAGGCCTCGGATCGACCTCCAGCTATTCCAATAACAACTTTGGCTCGACTCCTGATTGTTGTATATTTATTTATTATTCCTATTATTGAAATATATACACGATACATGTATATCTAGTTGTATATGCGAGACTTTGATCGAAGGGCTCGACTTATTTAAGCGCATATTGTACTGTTCGAACACCTTAACTAAATAAACCTATGAATACTTAAATATAACGCATATATATGTTTAGAAATCTGATTGTATGCACCACTGTATGTAATACTGTTAGAAAACCCTCGAAATGTAATCCAAAAACCAAACACACACACACACACACACACACCCCTCACACACTAAGTTAAATTAGCTGATTTTCGAAAACAATAAAAACATGAAAAATGGAACACAGTGTATAACAAATGCGAGTGTGGCTTTATATATTTTTATGGGCTGTGGATAAATCAGGGCGCTTGTCGTCGTCGTCGGCAGAAGGTGTCGCCCCGTTGCAAGGAAGTCGACTCAAATTACAGAGCCATCGTTCCATAGTTCCAACGTGGCATTGTGGCATCCACCCCGTCCTCCCCGCATCTTCGGCCTTGGGGTCCACAAATCACCGATGGCTTGCCAACCCCGCTTGGCCCGCAGTTTACTTGTTGGCATTGCGGATTTCAACGCTTTTCATGGCCCATAAAGGAGTGGGTGGCGGTGGGCGACCACTTGCCGGAAACATATGGCAGCACGCTAAACCAAAGCCCTTTGTCGCCGCTACTGTGGGCTGCACTGCAAACAATCGGGGCTGGCCGAGTAATGAGCTGAAAAACTTGACATATCAAACGGGGTTTCCAAACTCACTGACAGTGGATTTGCATCTGTGCTGCACTGAAACGTATTTACATATATTCTTTTACAGCAGATAGCTAATTTTGTTTTAAGCTTATCAATCGCTTGGTACTTAATCGTAAAAAATACTTAAAACTACTTGATCGTAAAAAATACTTAAGAAACTACTTGATCGTAAAAAATACTTAAAAACAACTTGATCGTAAAAAATACTTAAAAACTATTTGAGTTATAAAAAATACTTAAAAAACTATTTGAGTCGTAAAAAATACTTCAAAAATTACTTGATCGTAAAAAATATTTAAAAACAACTTGATCGTAAAAAATACTTAAAAACTACTTGACCGTAAAAAATACTTAAAAAAACTATTTAAGTCGTAAAAAATACTCAAAAAACTACTTGACTCGTAAAAAATACTCAAAAAACTACTTGACTCGTAAAAGTAATAAGTTAACCAAGAATTTGTGTACGATGGCAATTCGCACTTTTGCCAATTTTTGCAAAATTCAGCTTGCTACACAATCAAGTGATCAGTTTTTCGCGAGTGTGCCCACTGACTCCCCCGCAAAGCCGCAGAGTCCTGCCGCAGTTGCTGCCACACAACGGGACACGTGCCAGCGCACCACCCCCCCAACCACCCCCTCCCCTCGCCCATCGCCCATCCGCTCCAGCCCAGCGGCGTAACCTTCTGCAAGGGCGACTGCCGCCGAAGCCAAGGACTCACGAGGACGTGCACAAGGACGAAGGCGAGCCGAAGGAGGAAGCCTCACTAAGCGGCAGCTCATGAGTTTCTTCTGTATTCCCTGTGTGTGTTGGTGTGTGTGCGTGTGAGGTGCTCCAGCCAACGGCAGCAGCGAATTCGAATCAGCGATGGCAGCGTGATAAGGATAAGCTTGATAAAAGTTCATAAGCGATGTATCTCAAACCACAAAAGATACATTTCTGTCCATTAGTTCGGTTTTGGGCATTAGGAAAGTTTTGAAATGTATTGCAATTAACCAGAGTACTTAGGAAGCTTTGCATTTGAAAACAAAATAACTCAATAATAAATATTAGAGTCTTTGAATGCCCGCTGCATTTTCCCTTTACAAAATGGAGTTCCAGAGCCTTTGGAGTTCTTTTCCTGCACTCACGAAGTTTGCGGTTTGCCGACACGCTGTCATCGCTTCCCCAGCAACTTGTTGTTTTATTTGCTTGTCGGACTTTTATTAAAACTGAACGCCACTTAATCAGCAGCAAAATGTCGCACTTTACTGCGCACCTACCCCTCCCCCTCCCCCTCCCCATGCCCCGTCGGGAAAAGCTGTGGGCAGGGGGGGTGGAGCGGGACTTTTGACTTTTCGCCGTCGTTTGCGAAAACAGACTTATCAGCTTTACAATGTATGTGTGGCTGCCTGCGTCGCCTGAAAGCTTTCCGAGTCACCCCGTACCGCTCCATCCGGCCAGCCCCTTGGCATGTGCCGCCCCCTTAACCACCCACCACCCAGAAACCCCCTCCACCCCGCCAAAGCCACTACTGCCCGACACAATCCCGCTGATAAATGGCATTTAGGTATTAGTTGCTGTTGCTGTTGCTGTTGCTTTTGCTGCGACTGTTTCGGCGGGAACGTGCCGGCTTTGCGATTCGCGATTGGTAAATTGGGTAATTGAAAACACTTACCGCTATGATTTATTATCTGTTTGATGTAACTGATTCGCTGACACACAGTAATAATTAATATATTAATGCCGGCTCACCTGGCTGGCCAGCTTAATTAATGGCTAACTTAATTGTAATTGTTGCGGCTGGTGCTTTCTCTTTTTATAAAGAGGAACCGCTATGCCTTTATATTATATTTTTAGTAAGAGCTTTAAAAATAAACATCGAAACATTTTTCAATTTCTTGAGTGCATTTTAGGTCTTTTTCAAGCAAGCTAGCCTTTTTTCTTTTGGATTTACGTAACAAACATGATTATAACTTGGATATAAACCTAAGAACCTGTAATATCACAATGCCTTAAAAGAACGAACAAGAAATTGCCTTAGTTAACAAAAACTGACTCAAATGTTTTCAAAGTGAATGGATTTGGGTTTAATCCATATAACACCAAATTTTGTAATGCAAATTCATAGCTACACAGTATTTTTCTCAAGTGCACTGGCATTTGAAACAAATTAATCAAATGCCTATCGCCAGTGACACACAATCAACCCGATAAGTACCGGAAAATGTAAATACCTAAATACCCAAAGTTGTTGACGAATTCGCGGCAGGCGGGCTAATGCCCAAAACTATTCCATTGTTTTCAAATGGGTATTGTCGACTTTTGAGTTCTGGCACCTCTTGAGGTAAACGTGGCTTAACTTGAGTTTGCTATCAAATTTCGCAAATATTTGCGCTGCTGCCGCGCATACAAATATGCTAATTAATCACGTGTTTTTTACTCCACTTACTTAGCTTACGTAACTGATAGTATCAGCGTGCAGTGGAGCGTTTTCGCAGCCCGCGCCGTCAATTTGTCGCCCACAGTTATTAATGCTAATGGATTGCACTCCTTATATGCATATGCAATTAGTGGCGGGGTGGGTAGGGCCATATAATCGATCAATAACTTGTTGCTAAATGGCATATTTTGAATATCTAATTCAAATTCTAATGCCAAACTGAATTCTAAAGCTTCTGTTAATGAAAACTCTTTCTGAATGCCGTATTCCAATGCGTAATGTGGATTTCAAGAACAATGGAGATAGTTTTCCATATCAGTGATATGAATTTATTATATATAACGATTAAAGATCTCTTTTTGTTTCTACTGCACTTTAGATTGGTAGCTGTAGCGCTAGTAAGCCTTTTCAGATATCAAACGTAGTGCAAATCTACAAAATATATAATATATGTTTAGCTTCATTTGATCCTTTGGTTTCAGTTTTCAAGAACCAACTATCTAAGTCTTACCCTATTTCTTGTGTAATGCGTAGAAGTTTTAGCACTATTTGTGGGCATTGCGCCAATCTCGTTAGCCGTAAATCACTCCCAATTAGGAGCGTATTAGTTTTGGGCTGTCCACAAAAGCCGGATTGTCCGAATCTAATCTACGGCTGGCAATTTTCGACTTTCGAGCGAGATCGTTGGCGGCGATAAGTTGCCGAAAATAAAAGGAGAAACGGAACGGAACGGAACGCAAGCCTCAACTTTGATCTCCGATCCCCGAAGAAGGTATTATGCGTCGTGTATACCCATTAAAATTAATGAAGAGCCGGGCCAGATGCAGGGCCCCGTGCGAGAGGGACAGCGATATGTGCATATAAGGCTGGGGAGCAACAAAATGAGCGTTAACCAAGCGAGTCCTCGGCACGTTTTGGAATTTACACGAGGCCAGGAGTTACGTGGCTGTGGCGACTCCAAAGGGGGGGTGGGGCCGATTTCCTTCCACCAAGCTGCGTGCGGGGAGGGGAGGGGCAGGGGCAGGGGCAGGGGGTGGGCAGCTCAGACGTTATGCGAAACACGCAAAACGAATTTGATTTCGCTGCATCAGTTCAGTTTGCCGTGAAGCTAACCAAGCATACGACCACCAACCCCTCCCCCCGATCCGAGCCGATCCCCCCTGGCCTACCATGGCAATTTGCCATTTTGAACTCATCGAAAGCGCAGCGCAGAGGGTTGGGAAATAGGGGCTTCCAGCGGCGGGGGGTTAGGAGGGGTGGCGAAGGGGTGTAGAGGGTTGGCGTTTTGGGAAAACAGGGGGTACAATGCCGAGAGCGAGGAGGCCGAACCGCAGTTTTGCGGCTTCATTGGATGCCAAAGGCGGCGGCTACTTGG